ACTAGAGGTACGCGTGGATTACTCTACTAGATGCTAGATGTACGCGTCTGTTACACTACTAGTTACTAGAGGTACGCGTGCGTTACTCTACTAGACTCTAGAGGTACGCGTGGATTACTCTACTAGATACTAGAGGTACGCGTCCGTTACTCCACTAGATGCTAGAGGTACGCGTGCGTTACTCTACTAGATACTAGAGGTACGCGTGCGTTACTCTACTAGATACTAGAGGTACGCGTGGATTACTCTACTAGATGCTAGATGTACGCGTCTGTTACACTACTAGATACTAGAGGTACGCGTGCGTTATTCTACTAGATACTAGATGTAGACATTGGTTACTCTATTAAATTCAACCTGTACTCATTCATGACTTACACCTCTAGTTTCTAGCATTGATGGGGATTGAGTAAAATACAACTCTTCTAGATCCTAGAAGAAGCGAGCTAAAACAGTTAACCGTATTTGCGATTACTACGGGAAAGGGGAAGGGGGGTGAGATGGGAGGAAGGAGACGCAGGGAAGAGAAGCAGTGTATTACAGACCTTCCAGTGTATTACTTCCAGTGTATTACAGACCTTCATGATGATAGATTCATGACCTCAAGACGAAGACTTTGCTAATCCCAAACAATTATAACATCAGCCGTGATTAATATAGAGATCTCTATATTATACATTCTCTATAGAGTCTCTATATTATACAGTCTCTATAGAGTCTCTATATTATACAGTCTCTATAGAGTCTCTATATTATACAGTCTCTATAGAGTCTATATTATACAGTCTCTATAGAGTCTATATTATACAGTCTCTAGCATGTATCTATGAGTAAATTGTATTAATGGAACCAACAATGTCAATCGCATAACCGCCAAAACTGGCCCATAAAAATACGAGTATATTTTCTGTAACTCACATGTCGAACTCTACGTTCTTATATTTTTGTGTGTGGGTGTCTGTTCTTTTATATCGTTGATATAAATAACCGTTTCATACATTTTATTTACAAAACCCAATTTGACAGTACAACATGATTTTTGTCGTTTGTTTTCCAGTCAATACATTGTACCTGGGCGACACAGCACGGTAAAGTACGTAGTCAGTGTGGATAATAAAGGAGAGAATGCTTACGAGACACAAGTGCATGCATCCTACAGCAAGACCGCCAACTTCATACGCGCAGAGAGCATGTCTCAGGTTTGTAATCATCTAACTTCAGTCACACACCTTTTCCGTAGCTGTAATATTTACAGCTGACATAATACTATGAGTTATTAATTAATTATTAATTAATTGTTAGTTAAATATAATTATTATAATTATAGTTAGTTATAAATAATTATTTGTTAAATATTAAGAGTTATATTACTATAGCCCATTAGCCCAATGAGTATTGTTTAGTTGTGCTTTCTATAAATATATAACGTGAGTGGCAATGCTTGATTGAAAAGTGATTGATTATATCGGATATTTGATCATTTGAATAAAATCTACTCATAGACAGTCATATGTTTATGCTGAAAGTTTCCGTATAGCATTTTATAATGAGAAGAAATACTATAGTGACACTGAAGAAAACTGAATACAAATACTATGCATTAGCTAGACGTATAAAGATGACCTTCAGTATTTATTGAATTCACAACAGGGCATGGCTGTGACCTGTCTTACTGTTGACGTCCCGTACGTGGCTGGCCAACCTCCACCGACTGAACAAGAGCTGCAATGTGACGTAGCAAACCCTCTAGGTGCCAAGCAAATGGTATGGTCGTCTTAACTCGAGAAACTATGAGTAATTATCTAAATGTAGTCATTCAAAACCAAAACCAAAGTATAAACGATAAAAACGATTAGTAATTTAGCAGCTGTTACAACCTCACCGCGTCTAAACTCATGGTAAATGTTTAAAAATAATTTTTGCAATGAAAACTAATCAAACATTTACTTCTGACCTCTTTGGAATATGCTGCCCGTTCACCGCTACCAGTCTACATACTAATCATGCGTGTATAATGTTGTAGTCATGTATAATCTTGTAATCGTGTGTATAAACGTATAATGTATGTACGGTGGCCCATATGAACAAAACACAAGTACGCAGGTTAGCATGTTGGCAAACATATAAAGTTCGAGACGAAGCCACCGTATGTATGTACAATGATGTTATTAATAATCATGCGTACTAATAAGCATGCGTGTAGAATGTTGTAATCATGTGTATATCATGTAATCATGCGTGTTCCGTGCTACACAGGCCAAGTTCTACATCGAGCTGGAGACGTCGTTTCTCGTCGGATTAAACTTTACTGTCGGAATGACGGCGACGACGACGAGCAACGAGCCGAATACTGCCAACAACAAGGCGGTGAACGTGCTGCAGATACGCCCTGAAGCCGACGTTCACCTTACCCGCAGGTACGCTCTAACTACACACAGGTACGCTGCTGCTGCTACACGCACGTACGCTCTAACTACACGCAGGTACGC